TCCATCCATCCATCCATCCATCCATCCATCCATCCATCCATCCATCCCTTTTACCCACTTCTTCCTTTTTTGGCCATGGGGGTCACTGGTGCCCATGTTCAGCTTTACCTGGATTACTGAGCATGAACTTTGCTGTTGGAAAATCTTTTTGGTAATGTTACCATCCTCTCATCTTTATAATTTAATTTCAAAATATTGAAACTGTCATTGAGTATATTACACTTTCATAATCATATTATTTTTCTACTCCTTTCTTTTTAGGATCTGAACGCAAGTTTGTGAAGTACAAAACGGACCTACTTCTGGATATAAACCAAAAAACAGTTTCCACCAGTGCTGATTTTCGATGGAAATTTAATCAAACTGTTAATGTGGTGAAATTAAATGCTGGAAGTGAGCCAAATATCCCAGACACATATAAAAATAGAGTGAAGTTCTTTAAAAAAGACTACTCTTTGCTGTTAAAGAATGTGCAGCACGAGGACAGTGGAGTTTATGCAGCGATAGAGAGTGAGAGCACTGACATCACCTTAGTTGAATATAACGTCATCGTCCAAGGTAAGGTTCTGTTGGTGTTTCATCATCACTTATTAATGCTGAGGTTGCACAATGATGCGCAGGCATTTAACTCTTTTGTTGTTTCTCAGATCCAGTGTCTCCAGTTAAAATAACGATGGACTCCAGTGATGCGAAAAACTGTAACGCCACTGTGACCTGCAGAACAAACGATTCTAAAATTTGCAGAACCTTTCAATGCGACAGCAAAACCTGCTCTCCAGTGACAAATAGCATCGTCTCAGCCCCATATTCTCTGCTCACTGTCTATGTGGAGCATAACAACATCATCTGTAACCATAGCAACAATGTGAGCTCGGAACAGGACAACATTAACTTACCCTGTGGGACAACACCAGGTAAGGTTAAGCAATAAAACGATGGCCACTTTCAACTTATACAGACAAGTCACACATTTGGACAATGAATTAATCAGCATCAAACTGAAAATGTGAAACATGTTTTGCTTTATGAATTATTTAGAACAACTTTATTGTTTGTCCATAACAAAAGAAGCATGCACATGTATTAACATGAACTTACCACCAAAAACTGTTTACGTAAAAGGTTGACTAATTAAAGCCTAGGATGTGTTGAAGAAACGCATATTACCCTCCATCTTTCATACCAGAAACTAAGATCATCTTATGTTGAGAAATAAAGTTGCATCTGTTTAGATCAAACTTTGAACATGACGTTGCACAATGGGTTGGCTCTGAACATGTGCAGCAGTTTGGAGTTTGTGTTTAGGATTTCTGGATATTACCATAAAAAATGTAGCTCAGTATCTGCTAAACTGAGTCATAGGTATGTTTGTGATTGATAAGGTCTGTGGTGGCCATTTTGATTTGGATTGACTCCAAAAATTAATCGGTAGCAGATCTAAACTCAATTATTAATTACCGTAATTTCCGGACTATTGAGCCGCATCCACTAAATAAAACAAATAATTATACATATAAACATCACGCTTATCTGTAAACCGCGGGTGTCCACATTGTAACATGAGCTATTTACACAGAAAAATTAAAAAAAACTTTTAATTAAATACGTATTGGTAATGTACACAAATACGTACAGTAAATTATTTTTAGTTTAGTGCTAAAATATTGAACGTGCAGTGATTGTGGCATGTGTTATGGATGATTTTAGCGTTTTCTAAGGTTTGCTATCAATTTAGTTCATTTCAGTTTACAGATGGATGTCGACTCTCAGTCACAACCACACCAAACTTTATGTCAATCACTGTAAAACTGACTGTTGCTGTTTAATGACGCTGCTTAGTTGTGGTGGCCATCTTGAAATAAGTTGATTCCAAATGTTACCTATAGAGAAATGTCATTTTCTGTAGAAATGCTGTGTGAATGCTGAGCACAGAATGTTACAGAAATTTGACAAGTTGAAATAATTCATAATAATATTCATAATAAGTGATAATAATCCATCCATCCATCCATCCATCCATCCATCCATCCATCCATCCATC